TACAGAGAAGGAAGGAGGCAATAAAACAAAGCGTATTTAACTGCTGTGATAAAAACAAACAGGGGGGTCCAGGAAGCCCAGAGGGGTGTGCAGAGCTGGACCAGTATGTGGTGGAGTCTCTCATGTGCTGTAGTCCTGGCTCTGGGGACAGAGGGCTTGTTCACCCAATTTCTGAAGGGCTCTCAGGAAACAGCCCTCAGTTTTCAGCATGGCCTGAGGCCATGCTTCGGTTCAGAGGTATTTCCCATCCAATGCCTGACTAATAATCACACGAAGCCTTAGCTTAATTTGGAAGGACACTGGATGACTTCTGCAGCTCCCGAGTTACCCAGTGGGTTAGACAGAGGCCCTCCTTGGGGCTGGGTCACTGACCTGCTTCTCTCTCTATGAGAGACTGTGTTGATCAACAACCACTGTGTTGATTCACAGAGGATCCCCAAATAAGTGTCCTTTTTAGAATTTTCTTCCTGTAGAGATTGGGAAGTGTTCTTGAATGCCATTCTGTGCAAGTTGTTGTGTAATTATCAATAGACCCAGGCAAGGTTTCTAGCAGGGAAATAACTTGATCACAAGTGTAAGGCTACAAAATTGAAGGCGGGGAGCTTAATTGGAAGGATGTTATAATTCAAGCAAGAACTATTTGGAATCTAAATGAAGCAGACATGGAGAGAAAAAGAAGAATGGAATGGGTATTGATGGGTGACACTGACAAGACCTGGCAGTTGATTACAGGTCAGGGACACAGTAAAATCACCTCGGTCTCCTAGGTCTTTGGCTTGGGGCAAAGAATGAGTTTTAGTATCACTAATCCAGATATAAAATACGGGAGAAGGAACAGGATCACCCGTGGGTTTGACAAGCTCACTTTTGGTCTGAAGGTGACGCAGGGCAGAAAACGCAGCTGAAGGTGGGCAGATGGCTGATAACGTGCATGGAGACAGCAGGAAGAAACCAGAGAGATGTCAGGAGGCGATCAGTGCTGGGGAGCTGGGTCAGGTCGTCGGCACTGGGGCAGGGGTTAAACAGGGGGATGTGCGGGAGCTCAGGGCGCCACAGTTCTGCTCTACTGAGGCCAGCGCTCCACGCTGTTTGCCGAGCAGTCCTCACGCCTTCGCTTGCGTTCAGACGGAATGGCTAGGGTTCAGCACTGCAACAGCAGCAGGGCTGCTCCCCGCTGTTCTTCTCGCCCAGCCAGGTTCTTCACCTCTGCTGGGCGAGGGCTCCATCTGGCTTCCTTGCCTTACCCCCGCCTCTTTCTTGGCCCTACCAATGCCAAAGGCAATGGTGCTGAAGTCATCTGGTCTAAGCACTTCTTTTCTTTTCTTGTTTATGTACTTATTTATTTATTTTGGTACTGGGAATCGAACTCATGACCTCGCACTTGCCAGGCAGGCTCTTGTGCCGCTGAGCTACATCCCGGCCTCCTTTCCTATTTAAAGCAGATGAGGAATTTGTGGCTCAACAATGCTAAATGAGTGGCTGAAAGCCACATTCCCAGCGAGTCCCAGAGCTGGGGCCTGGAGTCCAGGAACATGGCTTAGTGCTGTCCTGCAATAAAACAGAGTTCCCACAATTTTCTGAGCACCAGGTTTCAATCTAACAGGCATTTCCCGAACAAAGACAAGCACATGATCAATAGAGAGGTGCAGAGATGCTCCCCAACCAGGGCACCAGGGAAGTGCAGATTGGAATCACAACATCATGAGACATCACCTCGCTTGTCAGAGCACCTGCTGCAAAAGGGGGAGCGTTGACAAAGGGTGGTACAGAAGTTCCTCAAAAACTGAAACTAAAAGTAAAAGCACTATGTTTTCCAACAACCCTACTGCTGAGTAAAAATCCCCCCAAAACTGAATCTGTGTGTTTTACACACAGCTGCATTCCATATTCACCGTGCATCATTCCCAATACCCAAGATGGGGAAGCATTCTTAGAGTCAGCAAATGAAGAAAATGAGATGTATGACACAGCAGAACACTATACAGCCTTTAAAAAGAAAAACTGGACAGTCAGTTATTATATGAACCTAGAGGATAATTTTAAGTAGAATAAAGGCAAGTGCAGAACTCAGATGTAGAATCTAAAATCTAGGGACTAGAGTGGTGATTCCCAGAGATGGGGAGGTGGCTGAGGAAAAGAGAAATGGTGGTCAGAGTGCCTGAAGTGTTAGGGATCTATCTGTACAGGTTGGTGTTGGCGTGTAATAATGCACCCTCAAAACCTAAAACAGTGGATGTGTATGCTCTCACCATAATAAGTGCGTGAAGTGACAGGTACTACCTTAATTACCCCATAATGCATACATCAATATACCTTATTTTACCCCATAAATGTACACCAAGATTTGCCAATAAAAGCTTTCAAGATGATTAAAAATAGTAGTAGTAATAATGATGATAATAATAGTAATCAATTAAAAAATGACTCCATCTGAGTCTCTGGATCTTAATTTGAACAGTTATTTCTTTAGTATTCGCTTTCATTGGATATCTTGGTTCTATTCTTAATATAGTATTTTTTCTTCTGTTTTTTTTCACTCCTTTATTATTTTCCTCAGAATTCTGAAGTTTTATTGAGTTTGTCTTTAAATTCACTGACTGGATTTTTGGCATCTTCCAGTTTTGCTCTTTACTGCTTCCATTTCATCTTAAAAAAAAACTTTTAGTAATCCTAGTCTTCTAAAACAATATCTTCTGATGTCAGTGCTGCGGTTTAAAAATGCAATGTTACTTTAATGCCAGTTGTGTTAGGATAAACTAGCACATTGCACATTCACCCTTTGGAAGTACACAGTCCAGCGGTTCTAGCGTCTCCGGAGCTGTGTGGCCCGCACCACCTCTAACTTCAGGACATTTTGATCATCTCCACCAGAAGCCCATGCTGTTAGCCAGCACTCTCTCTTGCCAGGTCCCTTGCCCCCTGGATCTATGACAATTCATGTATACGTAGGAAAAGAAAATGTACAGTCTTTCCAGTGTGGCTTCTATCACTTGATGCTTCTGCAATTAATATATGTAAGCAGGTCCCAACACTTTATTTTTTACTGAATACTATACCCATGTGCCTGACATTTTATCTGCTCCTAAGTCAAGGGACATTTAGATTAGTTCCCATTTTTGGTTATGAGTAATGCTAGTATGAACATTTGTGATAAACATGTTTTCATTTCCTTTGAGTAAATACCTAGAAATAGAACTGTGGGTCACAGGGTAACTATGTTTAACTTTTTTGAGCAATTGCCAGACTGTTTTCCAAAGTGGCCATACCATTTTATGTCCCCACCAGCAGTGTGCAAGGGCTCTAACTTCTCTGTATCTCCTCACCAGCACTTTTTATTCTCCGCCTTTTCTGTTATAATCATTGTCCTGGGTGTGAAGTAGTAGCTTATTATTGTTTTGATTTTCACTTGAATGGCAAATAATGTTGAACTTTTTCTCATACGCTTTTGGCTTTGTGTACATCTTCCTTTAGGCCATGTCTACTCAGATTTTTCAATGCATTTTCTTCTTCTTTTTGAGTTGTCAAAGTCCTGGATACAAATCCTTATTGGTTACATGACTTCAGATATTTTCTCTCACTCTCAGTCTGTGGGTTTCCTTGAAGCAGAAATGGTTTTTAGTTTTTATGAAGTCCAATTATCTATTTTTTATTACTTGTGTGTTTTATGTCCTATGTAAGACATTGCTATCTGATCTACAGTCACAGGTATCTGTACCCATATTTTCTTTTAAGAGTTTTACAGTTTTAACTTTTACAATCAGGTCTGTGATCCATCTATGTTAAAATTTGTGTGCAATGTCATGTTCTTTTGCATCTTGATAACCAGAAACTTTCCAGTTCCCGGTAAAGATCTTGCTACAGCTTTTTGGGTTGGCTTTTATCATTCACTGTTTTATGGGTGAGGACTTTTAAGTTTATTGCTCTCGTTAATCTCCTTTGATGGGTTTAAGCTGTGTCTTTTCATGGAGAAGATGGCTCCTATGTTATGTATTCCCCCTGTGCCCCTGCCAGGAAGGGATGAGGTTCAGTTAACTTCAGAACTCTCTGAGGGTCCTGCTCAGATATTCTGTGTGGTTACCAGGAGAACAGGAAGCCTAAAGACCGTGGTTAGGGCAGTAACCGGGACTCTGGGGTCTGTGGAGTAGGGAAGGCCGGTTCTTCACAGTGACCGGTCTTCCCTCCTTCCTGACCCTCGGATGTCCGTGGTCCACACACGTGAGTCCACACTAGCATCTTGCACTATCTCGCGGTTTTGCTCTGGCTCTGCTCTCTCCTGATTGCCCTCAGCTTTGCTCTGCCAACCCAGTTTAGTGCAGGTTTATTTTCCTCACCCTGAATTCTCTCTCTCTCTCTCTCTCTCTCTCTCTCTCTCGCTTTGTTAAATGTATCATTTAGCTAGTCCATAGAAACAGAAATTTTTCCTGTGGTCCCATGTGATGTTTGGATCTGTATCTACAATGCACAGTGCTTAAATCAGGCTGAACACCTCTCTCTCCCTGAAGGCTCCACATCCTTGTGAGAATTCTCCAGCCCTGCTCTGGCTGTGGGACATGCGCAGTGTGTGACTTCCCACCTCTCCCTGCTAAGCAGTGTGCCCGGCTCCTGCCCACTGGCTGTAACTCAGCACCCACTTGCACCTCACCAGCTCTTACTTCGTGTGTCTGCTCGAGTTCCTTGTGCCTGGCCTGTCTCAGGGTCCCTGAACATCCCTGGGGATGGATTCTGTCATCGAGCAATATGCCAGAATCAGGAATCCTGCCGCACTCTGCTGGTGGTCCTGGTGCTGTTGGGTTGCCTGCCTCTCCCTGTTCTTACTGTGAACCTGGGGGACCTCCGGTGACCCAGTCAGGGTGAGGTAGAGGCGCCTAACACCACAAGTCCCCTTAGGGTGGCAAGGTGCCTGACTGATCTCTGTGGCACCCCCAGCCCCTTGCTTTCTGGTGGCACAGTTTTCTCTCTTTGTATTTATTTTGATGATGGATATAAAATGATACAAATGATTATCAGTATTTACACATAATGCCCACCCATAGATTATTTATAATAGAGAAATACCAGATCCTCAACAAGGTTAATGGATCATGAATGAAATTTTACTTTTGTCTGCACTATACTAACTGAAATTACAATTTTCTTATTAACAATAGTGTTTTATGTGTTCTCAATTCTGTTCCTGAAAGAATTAAGGGTCTCAACATGGATATGTCCGAAAGAACAGTAGCTAAAATAATAGTAGTGGGTTATAAGGAAACAATAAAGGAGAAAATGTGTGTGGGAGAAAGGTCTAGTGAAGGCAGACCAGAGTTTAGTAAATAAAATGTGTGCTGCAGGTCAGTTCTGTGCACTTGCTCGTGGGGACCTTGTATTTGCTTCGATTTTTCCCGGTCCTTTCCAGAGGGCCACCTCCACCTAGAGAGCCGGTGTCCATGAGACGTGGCCAGCTGGTTGCTCTGCACAAAGGCAATCTCTCCAGGTGCTGAAGCCCAAGCGAAAGGCTCCCCGGGTGGCCACCAGACCACACTGTTTGGTACCGTCTCGTCTGTCCTGCAGCCAGCACAGCTGCGCAGGAACCACGGCTCTGTGTGGGCTGAAGGCACAGGGCCCTGCCCACAAGGGTACCGTCCACAGATTTCCAGGCCTGTAATCTTCTCAGCACCGTTGTCTTGTTAGGGGTGCTGCTAATGAGCACATCTGTGTAGTCAGCCTAAAGTGAAGCTCAGCAGCCTCAATAAGGTGCTCAGGTTTATGTACACTGTTCGGTAAGATGCATGAAAAAGCGGAAAAGCCAGACTTTCATTGTATCCGTGAGATTTCTGCTGCAATTATGGTGCATAACAACCAATCCCCAATCTCAGAGGCTTACCGAGGTAGATATTTACATTTATTGCTCAAGGTTTTGGTCAGCCCAGTCTTTCCTTTCCTCCTGTAAACTAGGAGTTGGATAGCTAGGAGGGCATAGAAGCAGAGGCCCAGGTCCTTTTACAGAGCCTTCCAGAACCAGTGTTCAGTTGGCTGAAGCCAGAGCACAGCCAAGCCCCGGGGGAGGCAAGTGGGGCCTCGGCCATCTCCCAGTCGGAGGGGCTGCCAGGCCGCTGGAAGTGCTGCACAACCAACCGCGTACAGGGCGAGAAAGAGGGATGTGAGACAGTCCACCTTCCGTGTTCTAGTCAGCCTGCTCCTCACTGCTTTTTCCATTTAGTTACAGTCATGTGCTGCATGCGAACCTAGGGCTCTGTTCTGAGAAATGCCGTTAGGCCACTGTGTTGTGTGAACGGCAGTGTGTGCGTTTACACAACCGAGGGGCACATGAACTCCTGCACGTCACCTCCTGATGCGAGGGACACAGCAAGCACGAGACAGATGAGGCTGCTGCCGGTGCAGCTGCACGGTATTTTACAGTGAACTCGGCCTGTGCACGGTATGTGTTTACACAGGGTGGAGAGTACAGCGCGGCACACAGACTTGTCACAAGCAGCGTGTGCTGCACGTGTTGTGCCGCTCTGATTTCCTGAGGTTGGGAGCTGTGGCTTTGTCTACATGGCATCACCGTGAACACAGTGAGGGGTGAAGTTACTCTGCTCCCGACGTCACTGGTGGGACTTTTGCTGCTCCACTGTATGCGAGGTTCCTCATTAACCGAGATATTGCTGTGCTGCGTATGGAGAATTCTGAGACTTGCTCAAGGGTGAGACTGTTGGGGAAGCGGAGGTCATCTGGGTCATCCTTGTGCTCACAGATGAGTTCTGAGAGAAGATGGGGCGTGGTGCTCACCTGCAAGCACTGGATGCTGTAACTGAGTCCACTCCAAACCCCACTGTTATGGTTTGTGTCTGTATGTCCCCCCAAAGCCTCATGTGGCCATGGGGCAGGCTTTTAGAGTTTGATTGATTATGGGTGTGAGAGCTGCACCCGCCCTGGGGTGGATAGTCTACATATGTAAGGGAGACCTAGAGGCTGCTTGCGGCCATTCCTGGCTTTTGTGCTTGTTGCTTTGCTGTGTTCTGCTGCCATGAGCTGTAGCCCTCTGCCGTGTGCTACTCTGCCTTGTAACCTGCCAAGTAAGGACTGAAACCTCCACAAACTGTAAGCGAAATAAACCTTTCCTTCCTTAATTTTGGGCATCAGATATTTTGTCCCAGCAACGAGAGAAAAGTAACCAAGACACCCACCTACCTGGATAGTGTCTCCCTTACAAGGTGAACGCAGTAGCGAGGCCCTGACTCTGTCTCCATCTCCAGGGCAGAGCACCTGAACGGCTGTGCATAGGAGGAGCTTCCGGACACTGAGGACCTTAGCACCTATGTTCTGACCTCAAAAATGGGGTTTTTGCAGAGCGAGTGCTGTGTGTGGGTGTGTGTGCACGTGTGTGTGAGGAGGTGTGGATTTATCATGAAAATATTTACAGACTCTGAGTTGTTATTGAAAAACCTGTAACATTTCCAGAAGGAAATGTTCAGCTGTTTTCTATTGTCTACATTTTTGCCTAACAAAAAATCACACGTGACAAAGGGGGGGCAGCGGGAATGGGAGGGAAGGTGGCTGGCGATGGGGTGGAGACAATCTGGGCCTTTCAAGTTGGCTCCGTTTGTTCCGTCCCACCAGTGGCTCTGGGTTTGGCTCACTCTGTCAAGAGCAGATCTCAGCTGGAACGCAAACCCCACGCAGCTGCAGAGGGCCGGGTGCTCTGAGGGAAGGGAGCAGCTGCTCCTCTGGGGCAGCGCAGGGACCTCTGGAACTGGGTTCCACGTGGGATCCTCACAGCCCTGCTGTGAGCTGCACTGATCCAGTTCTGCAGGTCAGTGTAACCCGACAGTATGTGTCAGAGAGGCACTTAATCACTGAGATATTGTTATGCATGTCCCGCTCCAGGTCGCAGGTCTCTTTAATATTTCATGGTTTGCCTCCCAGTTTGTTTACTTCTGCAAAGCAGCTCTCCTGGCAGGAAACCCTACTCCTGCAGATGATAGGACACTGGAGGAATGCAGGGCTAGGCTCAAGGGCAGTTTTTCTGAGAATCAATCTGACCACACGTCATAGCCAAAGCCAGATAATTAGCGGCCATTCAACATAAAAAACAGAGAGCCGTAATTTAGATGTACAACTTTAAAACAGAAACACAGGAAAAGATGCAAAAATATGCTTTAAAATAATGATATCCTACCTTCGTATTGTTGTCTTCCCTTTATGTTAGCCTTGAACAGATGGTCCCCCAATTTCCAACGATGATCTCATTTTTCACATAAACACATTTCACAGAGCTCTGTATAACAGCAGTTGTACTTTTAGTAGACTGAGAAAATATGTAAGGACAAAACCATTGGCACGAATTTGGTAATATGTTTTATTAAAGTCGTAACTGTGTTGAACGAAAAGACGTCTCCCTCCCTTTAAAGACTGGGCTTACTCATCACGTAAGCCACCTCCTCTGAGACACAGCTGAGCCAGGCGGTGGACCCGACCCCTGGCGATGGTGTCAGAGCTCTGCAGAGTCCCAGGCTCTGGCTGTCCTCCCCCACCCCTCCGCAGGGAGCTGCCCTGGCCAGTGCAACCCCTCTCCTGGTTACACAGGCAGTGTTTACTCTCACCAGTGGGTGCAAACAGACATACCATAAAGAGCCTGTCTTTCTAAGAGGTAAGAGTTTGAAATTCGGGCCCTTTTATGGTTATTTGCTGTATACTTCTTTGAGGAATCAGCACCTGTGAGACCATTTTACCTTTTGCAAACGTAAGGATGAGGCTGGGGAGACCACCGTGTGCTAAGGCAGCCACAGATGTGAGGGTGGACTCAGAGCGTGCGGTACTTAACCCTCTAAAGACAAGAGTAGGGCCGGGATTTAGCTCAGTGGCGCAGCCCTTGCCTGGCAATCATGAGGTCCTGAGTTGAGTTCTAGTACCCACTCTCCCACCCCACACCCCAAAAGGACAAGCATGGCCGGGCAGTCCTCGGCATTTGTGCAGAAGCCTTGCCCTGTGGCATGCGTGGGGACCGCTGTCCAGACTCAGCATGGGTCGGGGCCAGGAGGTGGGGGCTGCAGAGCGGACGGGGCTTCTGATTTCCCTTGCATGTCTCTGCACCTCACGTGTGAACACAGAAATGGTCAGTCTCAGGTGCTCCCTTTTTACACCGGGGACTTCCTCCCTCTCCTGCATGAAAGCGAGTTGCAGAACTCCCATATATAAATTAGATATGCCCCAAAAGCCGTTTTCACGTGTAGCGTAAAAGGCTCACTGGATGTGAGTCAGGCCCCAGAAATGTAGCTTGAAGCCAGTGGTTTAGTTCCTGTTTACAATCCAGCTCTACATAAAGATGTCCATTAATTAAATTTTTTTTTCACTTATTAAAGTGAGATGTTTTGCCCAAATATTGGCAGTCGTCCTTTACATGAGACACACTGGCCAGCTGGTCATGTCTGGGTAGGAAATCAAACCTTAGATAAGAACTGTAGTGTGAAAGAACTCAGAGCAAATTCATCATTGTAAGGGAACAGTTCTATCAAGCAAGGCTGACCTCCTCTGATGCCCTTCTTCACACAAGTGAAATTTTCTCTGAAGAACCGGGCCGGGAACCTGGACTCTCAGCACATCCTGCCTAGACCAGACTAGAGGAAACCTCACTCTGTCTGCCCTGGGATGGGGGCCTTTGGGTGGATTTCCACCTCCTATGTCACCATTCTCCTCCGAGCAGGAGAGAACTCGGAACAGGGCTGTGGACTCTCAGAACTGTTCCGTTCCCGGAGTCTGGTGCTCTGCAGAATCCTGGCCAGTGCCACCCACATCATAGTGCCTGCTTCCGCTTGAGATAGAGCTGCTTCCTTTCCCCCCAAGGGTCACCTTCGACATTTCTTCCGTGCAGATTTAAAGTGCAGATCCTTGGCATGGACTCTCACCCCGTGTTTCCCTGATACTCGACCCTTACCATGTGCTGCAGACGCGAGACCACAGGCATCCTTGCTGCTCAGGACCAAGCCTGGATCCAAAGACGGTCTTTGTTTGCTCAGCGCTGAACACTACCTAACGTACGGAGCGCATTTGGTCGGGTGGATCCTGCTGGCCAGATGCAGGGTGCACAACTCACGAGACAAGGAAAGACTGCGTTATGCGAGTGGCCCCGAAAACAGCCATCACAACGCTAACAGCTGTCTGTCAGGGAGTGAATCTGTCAGCACCGCCTGACCCCACAGCACCCCCGTGCTAAGGGCAAGCAGAAAGCCCGAGTGTCCAGCCACAGCGGGGTTATCTTCAGGGTGTGGACGGCAATGCCCCCTACAGCTGTCCTCGTCTCTAGCTGTACAAAGGTCTGTAGGAGCTGCACCCGAGGCCAGGAGGACGGCAGTCACTGAGGACCTCGGAGATGATGGTCCAGGCTCCAGCCCTGGGCTGGGCTGCTGGGTGTGGGGCCCGGAGAAGACTCCACCCTCCGTGTCTGTTAGCTGGGGTTCGCTGATTCGAGGACTTCATGAGCTAATGCTCGGCTCCAGAGCCAGGCGTGGTTTAAAAATGCAGTAAGCACTGACTCGTGTGCTTGTCCTGGCAGAGTGGAAAGCACGTGAGGCTGGATCTGGCAAGCCGGGCTTCTCGCTTAGGCCCGGCCCGTTCCTCTCATTTCCTTAAGCTTGTTTGGTCTTGCGTAAAGTGTGGGTAATAATGGAGCAGTGTAGCCAGTGCTACTCAAACCATCCCAGACTGTAGGCTGCGGATTCCTAGGACTCACATTTGGAAAACACCTTTATGGCCCCCTTCAGACAGGAAGGGGGAACCCCGTGAGAGTGCAACTGGCCCCGGGTAGGGAAGGATTCTGAGCACCCGGAGCTGGGAAGAAGTTAGTGAAAGAGCAAGAGTTTAGGCCGTGTGGGGACAACGATCTTCATAAACACCCCAGATCAAGCTGTTGCTGCTTGGCGTCACAGCGGACTCTTCCTTACCTCTCCCCCAAAGCTAAGTAGTTGTCACCCAAACAGTCACTTGTGGGTGACACTGGAGAGTGACGACACGGGGACTGTTATAGGACTGAGTAGGTGACACAGTGACGAGGCGGCGGAGGCGCGGAGGTGCGGCGCCGTGGGAAGCGTGGCCTGCGTGGGAAGATGCGAGGGGAAGGGAGGCCGGGGCGCGGGATGGCGGCTCTCCACCAGGTGCGGAGAACACTGCACTCACAGCCCTTCCTCGGCCTCCTGACTCCTCCCTCCGGTCAGCTGAAGGACCCGAGCACCCTGGCACTGGAGGTGTTGCGGGCAGGACTCCCTGCCATGAAGTTTAATAGCCGGAGACTCCCAGCACCAGTAATACTTGATAAGCGACAGCTAGCATCCCTTGTCCTACTGGTCATTTATTATTGAAGAAATATTTGTGTAACTGAGGCGGCAGAGCGCAGCTGGCGGGTGGCAGTGGGGCGTCCCACCTCCTCTCCTATGTCTCTGCCTGTGCGCGGAAGGCGCCCCCCAGAGGGGCTAGGGCTGTGCCCGGGTGCAGGTGATGGCAGGGAGTCTTTCCAAGTCATGTCCACGCCTTGCGGAAGGCCAGGGGACTGGAAGCTTCCAAACCCCTTCAGGAGTCAACTCGCTCAAGGTAGGGGCGAAAGCAGCGTTCTAAAAACACGAAGCTATTCAACTCGTGATCCGGTTTCCAGTCAGTGACGACCAAGATAGCCGGCCGAGAATAGGTGACGGCTTCGTTTTCCCAGAATGCCGTCCCAGCGATTATTTTTAGATGGAAGATTGGGAGCCAGAAGCACAGCTCATAATTATGTTGCTGTTTCTCCAAGCAGTTGTTTTGTGGGATTAATTCGACTGTAAAAACTTTAGAGTCACCTCATTTTATGAAAAGCCAGAAGATAAAGATGGAAGATGAAATATTCCACCACACAAAGTGCTGCTGGCTGTCCAGGAGCCTGTCGCATCCTTCCACCTGTGTGGCCCAGGCCCTCTCCTGGTCCCCAGGACTCAGGCCAATGGCCTTTCCTCCCAGGGCACTTGTGGATGTCCCCTGACCCTGCACTGGCTGCGTACGATCTCAACCTCTGGGGCTTCATCATCCTCTCCCTTCGACAGTAGCTTTCAGATACATCTTCCTATTTTCAAAGTTAAGTTTGTAATATGTACTTTTATGTTTTGTTTTTTTGAGACAGGATCTTACTATGCAGTACAGGCTGGCCTTGAACTCACTATGTAGCCCAGGCTGGCCTTGAACTCAAAGTGATCCTCCTGCCTCAGCCTTCTGAGTTCTGGAAGAGTTAATGGTTAATGGTTAATTCTACAGGAGAGTGCTGCCACCACGTCTTGTAATATGTACTTATATTACATTGCAAAACCAGCACATCAGGTCAAGATTATCAGACAGCTGATAGAGGAAAGAAAGACACTCATCATCTCATCATCTTAATATAAACTACTCAGCTCTTTAGAGTGTTTCTTCTTGAACTTGTCTCGTGCTTACTTTGCCTTTCTTTTTAAATTACTCCATGTTTGCAGTACATGTATAATGATCACATTCCTCGTGGGGAGTTGGTACATGAATATATCTGAATTGTTGTTACATGTCACCCAATCTCTTGGTCCCTCTCCTTTGTGTAATGCTTACTTATTCAGTGATTTGATCCTAGAAGATATGCAATTTCATATCCTGATTTTTTTTTCAGTTAACGTTATATCACAATCATTACTCACATTGCTATTTAGCCTTCAAAAATATTAAAGCCTGCAAAACATTAACCATTTCTCTATGATTGAAAGCTTAGATTGTTTATCATAGTCCACTGTTACAAATACACTGCCGGTGCTGCCTTGTGCATGCACAGGGTAGACTTTTCAGTGTGTATCTCTGTGCGTATGTGAATGTATATTTTGGTATTTTTTCTTTAGGAGAGCATCCCAAAAAGAAAATTACTGAACCAAAGAGTACTGTTTTCTAGTTTTGAATGGCACATACTGTCAGATCGCTTTCCAAGCGAGCTGGACCCATTTCCATCACCAGATGTATAAGAGAATGTCAGTGTCTCCCAACCTCCACTACAGTTATTTCCTAAATTCTTTAATTTCCATGTAAACCTCTCCACTGCGGCTCCATTTCCAGGTGCTTTAATTGTTGAATCTTTGGTTACTATCGAAGATGACCCTCTTTCCGTAGCACAGCTCAGGCTCCAGAGCCGGGGGTATTGTGTCTGCGCTCTGCTCTGCCGTGGCTCCCCGGACCTCCCTGTGCCTCAGTTTCCTCTGCTAGAAGATGAAGATCATAACAGTTCCTGCCATTCTTTATCATGCTACAAACAGGAAAAGCGACACCTGCTCAGCACTTAGCAGTTCCTTTAGTATCACTCAGTTTCTTGTGTGAGTTATTTGTCCCTTGTCCTTAGAAAGATGCAAGCGCTCACTCAGGAAGCAGCCTGCCAGCTCGACAGGGTTAGCTCGTGGCCCTCAGCAGTCCCATCTGATGCGGACACTGGGCCAGCAGGGCTTGGGGCTGGTCCACACTGAGGACCCTGCTTTGCACCTCTGTGTAGCCTTGATCCCCGGTGACAGACAGCTCAGCCACTCACCTGTCACGAGGCACGTCCTGTGGGCTCAGCCTCACTGGGGATGGACAGGCCCAGGGCCTTTAGTGTGGAACTGTTTCCTTCCCTGCTTCTTCCTGGATATTCTGCACAAAGAGATTTTATTGTTTATATAAAACTAAAGTACTCTTACATTGCCAAATAATGTTACCATTAATAATACATTACATTTATACTGTTAGAGATCGAGGGTCTCACAGTTGCTATTACTTTTTTTTTTAAAATAAAACAAAGTAGATGCCAAGAAATTTCTGTACCTGAATTTAGTCTACTAATGTATGAATCGTAAACATTCTAACTAAAGTAAGTGCATAATGATTCTGGATATTTATTAATCATTATCTATAGTACAATTAATATCATGATTTATGCAAATTTAATTTAAAAAGAAAATAATAAACCTTATCAGAATGTATTAATAAGCCACATTTTAAAGTGCCTTATTTTTTGTTTTCCAAAGCACAATGTATGTTATAATCACTCTCACATACCTTCAGAGAGCACATGGACAGATACCAGTGTTGTTTATGCAAGTGTCGGAACGCAGGAAGGTGTGGAGAGGAGACTGCACCGTGACCGGGGTTGGCTCGGCCTGTTCGCGCTCAGGTTTTGCCCGAATGTCTTGACGCTTCTCACACGTGACGGTCTCCTCAGCATATTTAAGAGACCAGACTTGAGGCCGCTTGGTGGGCGCTCCTGAGCAGCCGCAGACTGTGTCCCAACCTCTTAGCACGATGGCAGGGGTGCTGGAGAGCACCCCAAGAACGTCTGCCTGCAGAGCTAACGGAAATACTCCGAACACGGCAGGAGAGGACGAGACCTTCAGAGGAAATCCCCATACCCGGGAGCTTTGCCCTCTCCACGGGAGCGGTCTGGCCGCCTCCTGGAAGCCCTGGCTGTCACGCATGGCAGTGCAGGTCACTGCAGTCTGCAGATCCCTTCCCGCAGGGCAGTGGTCCTCACTCTGCAACCTGTCGGGTCACCTTCTGCTCCAAGGGGCCCTCAGGGCTGGCCTTCTGCCAGGGTGTGACAAGGGCTCAAGGCGCAGGGCCTCACCTCCTCTCCTTGTGGTCTCCCTCGGCGGACTCCTTCTCCAGAGACTGGCGGTCCCCGCGGTGGGAAGCCTGCTCACAGCCTGCGCCCTGTGCTCGGAGAGAGCTTACACTGGCAGCCGGAGCCGGGACGCACCCAGGGAGGCCGCACATCCGCGGTAGGGAGGCGCTGGGGGCGAGTTTCCCCGCCACGGAGACACAGGGACGCCTGCTCGTCTGCTCACGCACTCGCCTCCCCTGAGACATTTGTGCCATCTGTTCTCCAGACTGGCACGTGGGAAGATGACAAGTCTGTAAAAAGTTGAGGCGATAGCGCCCCAGTCACAGCGGAAGCAAGAGTCGCGTTGCTGTTCTGTGCCCGACTTTTGCGAGACGGTTGCAGCGGCGGAGCCCCGCGAGTCCAGGGCGAGCGGGGGCACAGGTGGTCCAGCCTGCAACGGGAGCCGGGCTGCGGCGGGCCTTCCAGCGGCACCAAGAGCGGGTGCTGCTGTCGCCACTCCTCCTCCAGGGCTGGGCAGAGGCTCCGAGCGCCCCCCAGCCGACATGTCACGGCGCCCCCAAGCCGGAGACCAAGGCTCTGCCCGAGGGGACGGCCGGTGTCCGTCTGCGCCTCTCAGCGGAGGGCTGCCCCACGTCCCGAGACAGAAGGCGCTCCGCGTGGGGGAGACACCCCGCGAAAGCCCGCGACGTTCACGACGCCCCGGGGCGGGCGAGGTGAGGGCTGGTGTCCACTCCCGCGGCTCTCTGGCGGCGCCTTTCCTTCTCTTTGGTCCTTGGTGGTTTCTTTTATCGTGTCATCTTCCACAGTGGGCGTGTGAGCACGCGCTAATGTCGGACGCTGTGCTCCCCAGGCGCTGAGAGTAACGGCCCACTCCACATCGGGGTGCACTGTGCTTCCGGGGTGCCGCTTGGGACTTGGGACTCGCACTGCACTCAGCCGTGAAGAGCTAGTCTTGATTCTGACAACGCATGTGTGGACTGAGTATTCTACTAGGTTAAACAATTTTCTTGGTGTACCTTCACCATAACCCCAGCCGTCATTTTTATTATATTATCATTATTATTATTATTATTATTGCATTACTGGGGATAGAACACAGGGCTTTTATACTGAGCTGCATCCCAAAACCTTTTTATTTTTTTGAGACAGGGTATCACTTAGTCACTTAGTTGCTTAGGCTGGACTCTGACTTGCAATCCTCCTGCCTCAGCTTCCCCGATCGTAGGTGCATGCCATGATACCCAGCTAAAAAAATCTTTATTTTTTTTTATTGTGGTGCTGGAGATTGAACCTAGGGCCTTGTGCATGCAAGGCAAGCACTTAGCCACATCCCCAGCCCACTTAAAAAATCTTTTCATTTTTCCACAATTGTAAAAAATAAAATCTGTGAGATGTTACTCTTTTTGCATTCAATTTTAGAGGGTAAGTTAAAAAGATTCCCCAAATATAACATTACAAAATATTAGAGATATTTGAGATATTTTGCTTATGGTTGAAAGTAGAGGTTTAAAAATGGCCAATTTTAATTCAGTTTAGATATGTCCAGTGTAGGCAATCCACACTTCATTTTTTCTAGCATCTTTAAAACTTTATTTGGAATCCAGGTATGGTGGTGCTTGCTTGTAATCCCAGTGCTCTGGGGTATCTCAGGTCCAAGTCCAGCCTGAGAAATTTAACAACTTAGCAAGACCCCATCTCAAAATGAAAATAAATAAATAAAAAGGACTAGGGGTGTAGCTCAGTGCAAAGGCCCTGGGTTCAATACCTAATAATGCAAAAAAAAAAAAAAAAAAAAGTATTTGGAGACAGGCAATAGGTATGGCAATGCAGGATTGTAATCCTGGCATTCAGGAAGCTGAGACGGGAGAACCATGAGTTTAAACCAGCCTGAGCTGTAGACTCCAAGCTAGCCTGAACTATGTATCAAGGCCCTGTTCCAAAAAAAACAAAAAGCAAATAAAAAATGTTTGAGACAGCCTGGTGTTCAGATTTAATTAGTAAATGTCAGTTTGTGATACTAATTTCCTTATAAAATATTCATTAAAGGTACTAATTTAGACATGTTACTTCCTCTTTCATATTTACCGTATGTTTACTACCATTACTATGTCATAACGATTGTAGTTTTAAAGTGATATTTTGAAAGTTGGTTTATTTACTTATTTTGAATATGGACACCTATTTTGAGACTGAAGTCCTGTCAGCATACGACTTCTCCAATCAGTATCCTGATGATCAAAACAGAGAGATTGTGAGGACCACGGTGTAAAGTGAATCTCTTTGTTGAGGGGGACTTGGGTCCACTAAACGTGCAGACCTTGTGTGTGACGAATGCGCATGTTACGCAGCAGAAATCAACAGCTACCACGGGGCGCAGGGAAGTGACCAATCTTCCACTCGTCTCCAGCCTGAAGTTTCCTACCCTGTCTCTGTCCTCCACATACCACTGCCGATGCTTGGTTAGTATCTATATTATCGTTCTGTTTTTACATGAACTATACTGTTTTTACAATCAGCAAAAAAAACCCCAAAATTTCTTCGCTCATGAACCTGATAATTGTAGCTAGATTTGTATTTGGTTTTCTGAATATATTATAATACTGGTTTACATTTCACACGTGGTAGCTTCCCAACAGGATCTGTTCTCCAGTTAGCCGGGATCCTCGAGGAGTATTTTGGTGACTTTCCGTCCAGTTGCCCTGAGATGCCTGCAGCTCCCCATCCCTCCACTTCCTCCCCCAGGCAGGCAATGAGCTGGCAGTTCTGGGGAAAGGAAGATTATAGAGTTAACATCAAGTCAGAATCTCTTCTATTGCCTAGAAGTAAGTTTCCACGTGTTAGAATCATGCTAGTGATGTAGATGATTTGAGCAGTGCAATTGTAAGCAATCGGTGACTCTTGAGTAGCTAACTGAAAATCCCGGCAGCCCAGTGGACTCCTCTGCAGCTGGCTCCTGGCGGCATCTCGGATGTGCAGATCTCATTGTGGCCCAGGGCTGGCCGCCTGGCTGGAGCATCCTGGGTCCCTCCCTCCTGAGTGCTGGGCACAGAAGCATCCTGAGCTCCCACCGCCTGTGTCCCTCACTCCTGCCTGGCTCCATCTCCCGCACGGCCTCCAGCTGCAGAGCCAGGAGCCACAGCCAGGTCCTCCTCCTCGGGTGCTGTCCTCCTCCTCCTCAGGTGCTGTCCACTCCTCCTCAGGTGTGCTTTTACCACAGGCCGCAGGATCCCAGCTACCTATTTCAGACAAGGACGACAGCCCTACTTTCTTCTACCTGAGTCACCCTTGCTGGCTGTCAGTGGAGTTCTCAGGAAGCGGGTGCCACGGTAGGGTGCAGTGGCTGAGCTGGAGTGGCCACCATGGAAGGCGACAGGGCAGCATGGGGCTGAGAGGGGAGGGGACCTCACAAGGCCTCAGTTACCCATGGAGGGCAGGACACAGCCCGGGGCCAGGTCCCGGACCCACGCCGTATCAGTCCCTCACTGGGATGTCCGGACAGGCCAGGCCCATGGTGGCGGTGGCAGTGGCCAGAGGTTGTGTGTGTGGCGCTCCTGCCCGGAAGCACAGGCTCCACCTGGGCTGCCCCACAGACCCTTTCTTCTTGTCCACCCCAGGGCTCCACTTCAACCCCTGCCTTCCTGCCCTGGGCCAGTCTTTCTAGCCTCCCTGCGCTCACTCTCGAGTTTGTTTTTTGACAGAAACTTTGGCTCTCCACTCCCTCCACCTCTCCCAACTCTGCAGCCCTTGCTTTCACTGCTGGGTCCTCACAGGCAGCCGGGCCCCGCCCAAGTCCTCCTGCCTCTGGGTGGAGGACACCACTTTCCTGGGTGTCCTGCTCCTTCCGCCACCTTCTCCAGACCACAGAGTCGGGCCACAGTCCCAATTGTAGTTGGCTTTATACGCTACACAGAAACCACAGAATCGGTGACTTCCTTCTTGGATGGCGTCTGAAAAAAATCCTCCTTTTTAAATTGATAACACATTGAAGAGCATGGTGGAAAAGCCTGGGCTTTGGAGTCAGATCTGAGTTCCAGCTCTTATTTCCAGCGCAGCCTGACCTAACTGCTCTGGATCTGCTCTCTGCATCTTCGAGACGGAGCTGATGCTAAGTGTTCAAGACATTGTTCTGAGGACTGCATAAGATGCACAGCTAGCTCAGGGAGAAGTCTCAGGTCATGGGAAGTATAGGTTACAAGGTTCTCTTCCCGCAATAACTACTACCGGTTGCGCTGGATTGATAGCCCTGTTTTCTACTGAGAATGTTTTTGGATATCTCTAGTTATTAAACACCCCACCCAAACATACACACATTCACACACTAGCACAGATCAGCCTGTGTGTGGAGAAGATGTGGTCTGCTTTTCCAAACTCAGGAAAGTTCAAGCCCATCCATGTTGACCGAGCAGCTGCAGCCAACATGGACAGTGCCATAGCAGATTATCGGGTAGATGGATTCCTCACCCAGGGCCCAGGACTCTGTATCTTTCCTGCTGGCCACTGGTCACCGTAACCCAAGTCTGGAGGCAAAGACTGGGGGTATTTGTCTTCCACACCTTCCGGGGGTCAGACGAGGTGAGAGGTGCTGGGCTTCTTGGCCTGGCCTTCTAGCCAGCCTCCTCTCCTATCTCCCATTCTCCATTTTGGTAGCGCTGAACCAGACACCATGCCCAGCAGCTAAGCAGACTTCTTACTGGAGTTCAGGGATTCCCTCCCCAGAGAAAGGTGTCTCTTCCCTTGGCCCCAGGAATTTGGTAGTTATAGTTATTTCCCAATAGTTATTTAACCACAAATCATGAACAATTAGTAAGCCTAAAAGGGTCAGGAAAAGACAGCAAAGTGGTACTTTACTTCATTCCGATGTGTGCATATAAAACATGGCCCACAGCTGACCTGGCCACATGAACTTGGTGAAATAGAGCAGTGTTTCACTTCTGGATCATTGGTTTGTCTGCATCCCACTATAGGATGCACAGTGCTCTATGTTGTTCTCTGTGTCTCACAAACATTAATTCCTTTAACCCCCACAACAATCCTGGGAGGTAGTCACTATTACAATCCCAAATTACAAACAAGAGAATTGAGGTAGAGACAAATTCTTCTCTTGTGTAGCTGAATTCTCTTTGCTGTGTATTCTCTGCTATTAAGCTAAGAGTAGCGGATCCATCTTCAAAAAAATGCTCTTAGTTTTATTTTTCTATGGGTGATTATTTCAAATTTGAAAGCACAACAGATTGAGTACCTTGTCATTTCTGTGACATGGAAAAGACTGTAAACCGTGGTTCCCGATGTACCAGCATTACCCGCTTATTGCAATGTTTCATAATCCATCTGTGCATCTTTTCCTACCTAGTATCAATTGTTCCTTAGGAACTATTTCAGTTATCACTGGTTGGTTGAATTATCTTACATATTATTTATTTTTGATATTTTATATTTTTGTAAATATAAAAGTCTCTTGAGGTTTCCAATATTTCTGCATTTTAAAAGTATCATCTTTATCCACTGTTGTATTTCTCTTCAGCTCTGTAGTAGTGGCTTGCCCAATTTGGTAAACTTGAACCAGAAAATATATATAAGATAATTCAACTTAATCAGACCAGAGATTTATACCCATATTTAAGATTTATGAACTCAACAATTTTTATTCCAAAATGTCTTTTCTGGAGTGCAATATTATAAATGAAGAGTGTAATACAATTTTTTTTGTCTTTTTGACACGGAGTTTCACTATGCAGTTCAGGCTGGTCTTGAACTCACTTTGTAGCCCAAGCTGGCCTCAAACTCACAGGGATCCTCCGGTTTCAGCCCCCTGAGTGCCGGGATTACAGGTGTGTTCCACCGCATCTGGTCTTATAATTTGTTATTAAATATGGTGTTTAGTGAACTATGTTCTTCTATTGATTAGCTTATGCCCTTAAAATGTCTCCTCCCCTCATGTCAAGCACCTCCATCTCAGCTGAGCACCCACATTCTCAACCCTGTCACTGTCACACACGCAGTCCCTGTCTTCATGCTTACCAGGTGGGCTCTGCCCAGTGGGACATTACCAAGACTGACCTGTGCTGAAGGTCAGCAACAACTCTCCTCGCTTATAAGATTCTTCCCTTGGCCTTAAGGTAGAGCCCAACAAAGCACAGATACGCCACTTGCCATGCCCGGCCTGGTGTGGTTACACTGTCTTGAGGCTTGCCTCATGCTAGGATACATTAATCATGAAACTCCGAGGATGTGGGCTGCCCCACATGGGCATAACACGTGGACCGCGGGCAGGGAAGAGGCTCAGTTTGAACTTGCTGAGCAGAAGCAATGGCAGCGAAGATTGCTGCACTTCCACTGTGTTCTCACGTAGTACTTCAAGGACTTTCACCAAATGAGCTTGCTACCTCCCTAGTCTTTCTAGTAGGAACACAAAACTTTCACTTTTGGTGCCAACTGCCCGTGTTTGCAGTCCTTGCTTTCGCTCTTAACAGGTGTGGAACTGTTCTACAGTCTCAGCTTCTCGAGGGGTTGTCCTGGGAGGTGGCATGCCCATCACATTCACAAAACAGGTAGAAAACCTGGGCAAGTGATGTTGTCTAAATACTACTGAGAGCCCAGGGGAAACTGGAAGAAACTTGAAATAACAAGGGATTTTAAACTCACGTAGGACTCATTCACATCTGCACTATTTCATGCATTTGTTAGACTGAATCAAAAAGTTTAATAATTACTAAATGCTGTACTTAATATGATCCTATGGTAACTATAAATCATGGAAAGATGTGTACTTGGATATAGTCGTATAGCTTTGGATAACTCTCTTTTGGAGTTTTTAGGTTTTTTACTGAATCTATCCTGTGATATGAAGTGAGCTAACAGTTCAACTAGAAAAAGGAACCAAACTCACCCCTTCCTCCTGTTTCTGTCACTTTCTCTGATCAGAAACAGTTGGCCCTGGGGGGCATTTCATGAGGCAGAGAAATTAGCAGAGGTGTACCTGCGGGACACTAAACGTGCAGCTGCAGCTGGGTAAATTATACTGCTGACGCGGAAGGTGACAGAATGTGACCTAGATGTAACTTACTTCTGAATGTCTTAAGCAGTGCTTCCCAACTGCAGTGTCTTCAGGGAAGCATTCCAACTGAGGCCTCTGCCAGCAAACTTCCGGAACCGCGGAAGGGCTCACTGGCCCCGCAGCGCCCGCAGGGCGGGCTCGGGTTCTGGCGATGGAGGCCGGAGCCGGGGTCTGCAGGTGGAGCACAGGGTTTGGGCTTCGCTGACTGCAGGGTGGGACTCGGTCCAGTCAAGTGGATGACAGCGCCTTGGGCTCTGGCTCCGGACGGACGCAGCCCCAGCGCCGCCCTCACAGGCATCCCTGCCCGGCCCGCGCTCGCTGAAGGAGCTGTCTGTGTCCCAGCTGTCTAAGTTTTGGAACGATCGCATTTCCAAGGTGAAGAAAACCTCTGTCCTCCCAGTAGGGTGGGGAGCTGCGCCCCGGCCCGCACCCCGGCCCCGCGGAGCCCCGTCCACCCCTCCGCTCCTCCCGGCGTCCCCTCTGGTCCGTAAACGGCGCGGCGCTCGACCCCGGCCGTTCCTGAGCAGGGTGGGGCGCGCAGGCCGCCCGGCTCAGTCTCCCCCTGGGCGGCGGGGACGTGGGGCCTGGGCCGGGGAGCGCTCAGAGCAGGCGCAGTCGCTGCAGGCC